AGGCACTGCGTAATATCACTCTAGGGGAGTTGGAAAATGGGCCTATTTTCAAAAATAGTGGAGTGTTCCTTTAAATTTAACCGAATTCAACATATAGTACAGCAGTAGTTTTCAAATTAGGGTTCAAATTAATGTCAAATGTTCATATTATTTAGCTTTTGATGATCACAGAAGGAGAACAGAAGTTATCATTTAACATATCTAATTTCACAAAATAAAAAGATAATAAGACAAGTGTGTGTGCATAATTATATAGATTATTAATTTTGTGTGTGCGCTTTAAGTGTTTTAAGCATTTTTTATTTAATTGTATTTATATTCATATGTACTTGCATGTACTAACACATAAAATAATCAGAACAAGAATAAATCGATTTTTATTTATAAATAGAAAAGTTATCATTATAAATTTTACATGCACACAAACACATGTACACATACATGTATAGTATATTATGTGATTTTTTTTATTACATAAACTATTTTATAGTATCATATTTTAGTATCATTTTGTTTTATTCAATATTTTTGTTTAATTTTATGTATGTCTATATACATAAACACAAATAAAATAATTTAATTTAATTTGTGTAAATTATTGTTGTTGTTAAATTTTATGCACACACACATATAATTATATTCTGCCAAATTATATATAATTTTCCCCCCCCTAAAATACTAAAATAATAAAACATGAATAAAGGCATTTGAATTTATATGCAAATTATTGTTATTATTGTAAATTTTACACACGCGCACACTTTTTATTAAAATTTTATAATTTGTACATTTGTATTGTCAAGGGATCTCTTCTCTTATTCTATAATACTATTATGATACTGTACATGTATCAGTGTATGAGTGCAGCCTCCTGTATGACAGAATCTGGTTGGATGGTTTCCTGCATGCATTAACCTCTCTTATTGTTTCTATGACATAGAGGAGTCACTCTATTGTTAATAAAACAGGAACGTTAACTACCCCATCCGCCTGACAAACAGCCTGCTGCCGTCCCCTCTGCCGAATGCAAACAGACGCTTGGCACGCCACTGCACACTAGAGAAAGCCGGACAAACAAAGAGTGACACAGAGCTCCATATGCTTGTGATTTGGACCCCTGCCTTTATTGTTGGCCTCATATGTGTGTTTTGCTTGCGTTCACAGTGGCACAGACGCAGTCATTAGGCTGTCCGGCGAGGTGATCCCGGGGTCAAGGTGATGCCATTTTCCGCACTTAGGTCATGGCTGCATAAACATGCCCGATACTTTTACCGTGAAATACTTCTGCGGGGGCTGCGTTTCATTAAAACGGAGCAAAAACACCATCTAGAGCATTCCGTCAGATCATTATTGATGAAAGATGGGCGGCTGTCAGGTGGTGCTGAGAGCTTAACGTTCTTTTAGCGGCTCTCCGCTGCCGGAGGGTAAGTTAGCATGACAGGCGTTGGATTTGAGTCTGGTCTGGTTCTGACAGAAACGGGGCCCGGCACATGTGGTGCCAAAAGGCGGATTGAGAAGGGGCTCTCCGTTTCACCGCAAGCCCTTAATCATCACCGCTAGCCGCTCTATGAAAGCACCTTCATCTTGAGCGGCTGTGTTTACTTAATACTGACAGCTAGTTTAAACCGCCAACCCGCTGGACAAGCACTTTGAATGAACGTAACTAACCTATACATATGGAATGTGGTCCTCGCCGGGGGAAATGACAGCTTTACTTTAACACCTCTCTAGGGATGTTGTGAACCGAACAAAGTTTATACTTTGGAAGATGCTAGGTTTTACGGGACTGAACTTAAATTTACAGTAAAAAGAAGAGAAAAAAAGGTTTATTTATAGAACTGATATAATGCTAATTTTGCATCCTCCTAAAGGACTAAAATCTGTTTCTGTACCCATATAGTATGTAACCTTAATAATACAGGTGGTAAAAGAGAGTTCATTACAAGTAGCTTTTTCATAGGCTAAGTTATATACACTGAAAAAAAAACTTGGTGTAGAAACAATTTTCGCTCAGAAGTTACTATTGTTTTCACAAACATTTACAGAGAAACTGCAAGTAACGCACTGCATTTTGAAGTAGAAAAACTGAAATATTTTCTTGTATTACAAAGTCCAGTAATCTTCGAAAACTTCAAACTTTGGAAAATATATATATAATTTTGCTGTGTACTAATATATTAAATTCAAGTTTATTTGTATAGCACTTTTACATATTGTTTCAAAGCAGCTTCGCAGAAAAGGCATGTTTCAAAATATATAGAAGTATATAGAAAGTAAAAAATAGAAACATAAATACAAAGCACTTGTGACACTAAAATAATGCAGTAAACTTCAGTTAAACCACATCAGACGTAACATAAAATCCAACTGAACATTACTGATAACAAAAAATTTAAAATAAATATATTTGTTTAAATTAAATATTAAATGTAAAGGATGCAGGGAATTGTCAGTCTATGGTGTTTCACTGTAAAGTATACAATAAATATTCATGTTACCTCCAAAATCTGTACATGTAACAGTATTCTACTGTAAAATAAAAAAAATCTCTATAATCCACCTTATTTTGCAACGCAAAAGCGATCTATTTTCTGTGAATGTTTGAGACTTCCGATTCATTAGCCAAAGATTTAATAGAAAATAACAAAAAAATAACAAAGTGCAGTAAACAGTAAAACTATTTGCGTTTCAAATTACAGCAATACATTCAAATAATATGAAACAAAATACAACTTTGCGATATCATGCAGCATAATAACTGGAAGTGAATGACACCGGAAGCCTCGCACATTCAAGTTACAAATGGCGGCACCCATTATTACGTTAAGAATAATGTGGATAAAATGTCTAGTTGGGACGTTTTCACCGTATATATTAAGGGACCTGGCCGTTTACGAATTAACAGGGTTTTGCAGTCTTTTACCGTAAAAATTACACACATTTTTTACTGTGTAGGTTTGAACATTGTGAGTGGCATTTGTGGTGTTTCTGTGTTGGTTTAAATTTGGAGGTGAGTGACCGTGGCACAGCAGCGTCTAAAGCCTCTCATACTGAACGGATTGGCCGAGTCGCTCCCCTGGTGTTGTGATAACGAGCCGCCTTCCTGCAGGGCTAACTGGACCCAGATGGGCCGAGGGGGCCGCGGAGAGATCCCGTTACGGCTACGGCTGCGTAGACCCCCTCCCGCCGAGACGTTTGAAGTCTCGTTGGTGGACCAGGCTGAATAAAGCGCCCTCCTCGATAAGCCACTTGATTGAAAAAAGCCAGCGTGAAGGTTTAAGTGGGAAATACGATCTTGGGCAGGTAACGGTTTGGGGTTTTACTGCCGTCCAAAACAGCAGACATATATTCATACACGAGTGCATTCATGTCACGTGAAGGAATGTGAGCTTTTATCTTCAGACACAACATTAGTTGTTTTATTGTGGTTCGACTCACTGATTTACACACACCTTCACACACAGGGTAAAAACGGCCCCTCGGTCCCTCCTGCACAGGCTTTCAGTGTGGAGATTGATTTTGTTCATGCAAGGATTTTTATTAAATCACCTCTTGTAGTTTGTGTGTGCGCCTGGCATGGACTTTTATTCCACACACACACACACACACACACACACACCTCTGCTCTCGGTCCACATGTGGGAACTATTAGCAAGCTACTGTACACCCTGTGTTCCTTTGCAAGCTCAGACTTTCAAATTGTTTGAGCATTGATTGACTCGATTTTACACAGGATCACACACAGGAACATATTTCATAACATTTTCAGTTATTTGATTCATTTTTTATGATAATATTGGAAATTTGGAAATTCAACTTGAAGTTTAAGTAAGATCAAAACTGACTGTTCCTGGTCTTATTCTGCACAGTTCATCAGTATATACACAGACAAAAATATTATCAATAAAATGTCAAATGGCTGTGAAGTTTTTCAGCCCCTCCTCTCCAACCATTTTCATCATCCAATCAAATCCTGATGCATAAAATCAAGTCCCACCCTTCATGTTTTTTTTCCTAATTGAATATCCTGTTTATCATTATGGATAAAATTGGGATGTTTCGTAATGACTAAAAAGTGGCTCCCTTTCTAGTACGCCCTTTATTTGCCCTATACTTTATATATTAGGGCTAAGTCAATCCATTTTGATAAACATTTTTGCAATTCACCAGTGTTTGTTTTTGGAGCAATGAGTTGTCCAAATGCTATATTCACTATTAGATTTGTTCATTAGTTTAATAACAGTTGAAAGAATGCATTAAACTAATAAAAATGGACAGTATAGACATTAATAATGTAACAAAAGATTCCTATTTCAAATAAATGCTGTTCTTTTGAATTGTCTATTCATAAAGAATCCTGAAACCAGTGTTTGTTTTTGGAGCAATGAGTTGTCCAAATGCTATATTCACTATTAGATTTGTTCATTAGTTTAATAACAGTTGAAAGAATGCATTAAACTAATAAAAATGGACAGTATAGACATTAATAATGTAACAAAAGATTCCTATTTCAAATAAATGCTGTTCTTTTGAATTGTCTATTCATAAAGAATCCTGAAAAAATGCATCACTGTTTCCAGAAAAATAATAAGCAGCTCAATTGTGTTAATCATTGATAATAATATTGATAATAAATATTTCTTGAGCAGTAAATCAGCATATTAGAATGATTTCTGAAGGATCATGTGACACTGAAGATTGAAGTAATTCAGCGTTTTCATTATAGGAATTAATTACATTTTTAAAAATATTATAATTGTATATTAATATTTTAAATTGTAATAATAATTCAAATTTTTTTAATGAATATAAAACATTTTTCTTCTTCTTTTTTCCACTTATAAATATCATGTGAGTAATGTACGCTTGAGTCTGACCAGCAGAGTTTCCAGCATCTAATAAAAAGAGGCGAAAGCCTACAAATAAATACGTTGTATAATAATTAAATTTTTATAATAATAATTGCTGTTCTCTCTCTGTCTTTCACTCATCTTCTCCAGGCTGAGACCGCTCCTGATGGTCCTGATGTGGGCTACGGCTCGTTCCATCAGCAGTATTGGTTGGATGGCAGAATAGTAGCCGTAGGAGTTCTGGACATCCTGCCCTCCTGTGTGTCGTCTGTGTACCTCTACTATCACCCCGAATTCTCCTCGCTCTCACTGGGCACCTACTCTGCTCTCAGGTTGGTCAGCCAATCATAAATTCGCTCTAATCTTTGAGTTTTTTAATCTGACTTGAAAATAAGTGTGAATCTGCTCTGTGCTGAAACTAGTTTGAGCCTTTTGGTTACCAGCCTAAACCTTTAACCACTAGGCTACACTACCTCCCAACAAAAGTTTAACAGCATTAATGCAACAGATGGAACAGCACAGGAATCCATCCTGATTCTGCTCTCCTTTATATTGTTGTCTCTGAATATGTTTTCCAACAAGTTTCCAGTGGTTGTGCTGGTCGATCAGAGAGTTTGAATGCATATTAAATTCAAAACACAACCACACACACCCACAGGCCTATATTTCTTTGTCTTTCACATATGTGTGTACATATTTCACATGGGCTGCTCACCTGATTAGGTTACACTTTACAGGAGATGCCAGATGTGTGTGTGTGTAATACTCAGGTTTGGGTGTCTGGAGGCCTCGGGAGCCTAATTTCTCACAGACAGAAGAATAAAAAGAAGGCTAAGGGAGAGAAAGCGTTGTGCGTGGGGCTCTGTTGTGCCCAGAGCAGCTGGTGTCAGTGTCTTTGTGCTGGTGTGCGTCAGTGTGATCGAGTGAGACTGTCTGAGCGCAGGATGTGACACTGTTATTTTGATAAACATTTTTGCAATTCACCAGTGTTTGTTTTTGGAGCAATGAGTTGTCCAAATGCTATATTCACTATTAGATTTGTTCATTAGTTTAATAACAGTTGAAAGAATGCATTAAACTAATAAAAATGGACAGTATAGACATTAATAATGTAACAAAAGATTCCTATTTCAAATAAATGCTGTTCTTTTGAATTGTCTATTCATAAAGAATCCTGAAAAAATGCATCACTGTTTCCAGAAAAATAATAAGCAGCTCAATTGTGTTAATCATTGATAATAATATTGATAATAAATATTTCTTGAGCAGTAAATCAGCATATTAGAATGATTTCTGAAGGATCATGTGACACTGAAGATTGAAGTAATTCAGCGTTTTCATTATAGGAATTAATTACATTTTTAAAAATATTATAATTGTATATTAATATTTTAAATTGTAATAATAATTCAAATTTTTTTAATGAATATAAAACATTTTTCTTCTTCTTTTTTCCACTTCTAAATATCATGTGAGTAATGTATGCTTGAGTCTGACCAGCAGAGTTTCCAGCATCTAATAAAAAGAGGCGAAAGCCTACAAATAAATACGTTGTATAATAATTAAATTTTTATAATAATAATTGCTGTTCTCTCTCTGTCTTTCACTCATCTTCTCCAGGCTGAGACCGCTCCTGATGGTCCTGATGTGGGCTACGGCTCGTTCCATCAGCAGTATTGGTTGGATGGCAGAATAGTAGCCGTAGGAGTTCTGGACATCCTGCCCTCCTGTGTGTCGTCTGTGTACCTCTACTATCACCCCGAATTCTCCTCGCTCTCACTGGGCACCTACTCTGCTCTCAGGTTGGTCAGCCAATCATAAATTCGCTCTAATCTTTGAGTTTTTTAATCTGACTTGAAAATAAGTGTGAATCTGCTCTGTGCTGAAACTAGTTTGAGCCTTTTGGTTACCAGCCTAAACCTTTAACCACTAGGCTACACTACCTCCCAACAAAAGTTTAACAGCATTAATGCAACAGATGGAACAGCACAGGAATCCATCCTGATTCTGCTCTCCTTTATATTGTTGTCTCTGAATATGTTTTCCAACAAGTTTCCAGTGGTTGTGCTGGTCGATCAGAGAGTTTGAATGCATATTAAATTCAAAACACAACCACACACACCCACAGGCCTATATTTCTTTGTCTTTCACATATGTGTGTACATATTTCACATGGGCTGCTCACCTGATTAGGTTACACTTTACAGGAGATGCCAGATGTGTGTGTGTGTAATACTCAGGTTTGGGTGTCTGGAGGCCTCGGGAGCCTAATTTCTCACAGACAGAAGAATAAAAAGAAGGCTAAGGGAGAGAAAGCGTTGTGCGTGGGGCTCTGTTGTGCCCAGAGCAGCTGGTGTCAGTGTCTTTGTGCTGGTGTGCGTCAGTGTGATCGAGTGAGACTGTCTGAGCGCAGGATGTGACACTGTTCAGCAATGTGTCTCCATGCTGCACTGGATGGTAAACATAATGATGAATGGCCAGCAAAGAGAAACAAAGTGAGTTTCCTCCGAGTCCTAAACGTGCTGAAAATTCATTTAGAGTGTTTTGGTGATTCTTATTGAAATTTGCTTTTGTCATATTTAACCCCTAAATTATAAGAATTTAAATTTTTTTAAAAGATTATGTTTTTTTAAGATCAATGAAGGATTATTTAGATTTATTTATTTAGAATATTGTGTCTGGACATTGTACCATATTTTATTTAATATTTTTAGAATTGATTTTCATTCCCATTATAGTAATAATGGAAACATTTATATATAATTTTATTACCAGTATATAATTTTTATATATTTTAAGTACAGTATAAATTAAAGGCAGTGCAACAAATACTGTCATAATGTACAAATGGTTCAGTTTAAATAATTGAATATGGTTCTAAGTATTTGTTGAAAATTGTTGTTAAAAATGTGCTTATTTGTCATAATAATAAAAATAAGTCCTTCCTTTCATTAAAAAAAAATATTTTATTTATTTATTTTCTTTTGGTGTGAAATATGGCCCATGAAATGTCATATTCTTGACGTTTCATCAAATTCTCTCTCTTTTAATCAGTCTATTTTTCTTGTTATTCAGTAAAAATATCTTTTAAACATCCTTCAAAGAAAATAAATTTATTCAAAAAAATTATATTTACCATTTTAAGAAACTTTGTTGTGTTGCTTCATTGACTGCTATTTTTACATCTCCTATAATAGTTAGACAAATATGGTCCTCACATCTCCTGCTCTCTCTCTGTGTGTGTGTGTGACATTAATATTAAGCAGACGTCTTGTCGGTGGTGAGCGTTGTGGCTTAATTGGCTTGTGCAGGGGTGTCAGAGCGCTGAAGAGGAGATAATGGAGGCTTCAAGCTGCTGCCAGTGCTGAGCAGGGAGGGGGCTGCCCTTTCTTTCTGTCCCTCTTTCTTTCTCCATCTTTTTTTGTGAATGGGTTCCACAGCCTCTTCTTATCCGTCTCTCATTCATGGAGAGCCAGGCTTTGTCACCAGGGGATGGGAACCCGGGAACCTGGCAGCGACCGCATGACCTTGCAGCACCTCGCTGTTTGTCGTCGCTCCTTTTCCCTACACTATCTTTCATTTTCCACCACTTTTATTTTGCTTTGGCTTCTCTCTGTCTTCCTCTCTTTTTCCTGCATGAAAAAAAAAAAGATTTCTCCTCCTAATTTTTAGGAAGACCGAGAGTATGAGGTGTACAAAATTCAGAAGAAGAGAGAAGAAAGAGCAGGATTTATTTATGGAAAAGAGAAACGTGTTTGTACAGGGAATAAAGCCTGAAGTGAAAAGAGAGAGAGAGCAAGAGCTCATTGATTGCTTGCAGGAGAAAGTATAAATCTCCTCTTTTTTTCCTCCTGTTTTTATTTTATCAGTTCCCTTTTGTTTTTCTCCTCCCCTTCCTCTTTTTCTGCACTTCCTTTCTCTTTTTCATACACATGTAAATAGCTGTTTATGAGGGAAACAGTTGATCTGGTCCGTATGCAGCAAGTTTGGTGATGCTTTATCTACTTTAAGAATCGTATCCTGATTATAGTATAATTAAGAACTGTTAATAGTTATTAAAGTTATTAATCAAGCTTAATCTGATCTTTGTATAGTTATAAAAACCCCCTGAATAAATCAGTTTTATTGTCAGTTGCTTCTTTTTCCCTAGGTTTAGTGTCATATCTTTAAAAAAAAACTTTAATATTACACTTGACATGTCTCGATGAAGCATATTTGAATGTAATTTCAAGAGATTTCAAAGCAGTGTTTCTGCTGTTTTCTTGTCTTTTCTTGCACAAAGCTATTGTATGTCTTCAGAATATAGCAAAACAAGTCATATGGATCACGTTTATGCTTTATTTTGGTAATTTTTACATCTTAGCCAAAATCCCCCATTATGGAAAAGAGCTTCTTGGACATTTTGCAAACTATCTCCTTTTCTGTTCCATAAAAGTAAAATAGTCACATAAAGTGTTACATAAATCTGTCAAACTACATAGATAAACTCTGCAAAAATAAGTGAATGTTACCATGATTTCATCACGAAAACAACTAATAATTAAACGGTGGATATTTGTAGCATTAAATCAGCATTATATTGTCTTTGTAATGAGCAGTTTGAATTTTTACAACCTTGAGCACAAAGTTATTAATGTCAAACTAACTGGACAACATTGCATGACCACATACACACGCCTGTTTCTGCTCTCATTCTCTCTGCAGGGAGATTGCCTTCACCAGGCAGTTGCAGCAGCAGTCGCCCAAACTTGCCTACTACTATCTGGGTTTCTACGTCCATTCGTGTCCCAAGATGCGCTATAAGGTACGTTCATCTTTTTCTTGCATTGGTCAGTGTCACCTAACTGAACACTGATGTACTGCAATGCCATATTGAACATGCACAGAAAGAAATGAAAGCTTTTGCTTGATGTCATGCTGCATCCACATAGATAGGTGGCAGTATAGAGACCACGACTACTGTAGTTTCATCCAGCAAAATGCATTTTTATCTTGTGCATCTACTTAAAATGGTTTCATAAATCTTCTGGTACCATTCTGAAGTGAAGTTTAAGATAAATTGTGCTGCTTAGTCTCTCACTTTCAAAACTTTTTCCCTAGACTGCACTTTGCTGAATTGTAAAACAATATGCATCAAAATAAGTCTTTATAAAGGGTTCAACTGTCCACTTTCTTAAATAGTTTATATGCATGTATCCTCTCTATCCCACTGTTGGGCAAGAGGTAGGCCGCAGTGGTTGAATAATCAACAGGGTGGCTTTCTGTTTTGGAGCTGAAGTAGACACCTGTTAAAGGTGTTAATCGTCTGTCGTCCGCCAGCATCACACCTCTCCGCTCGGTTGCCACTGTGATCTGTTTCTCTCATTACTGCTCCCCAAAGACTTACCCTGGAGCAACTGCAGTGCCACACTTCTGGAAACCTGCCTCCGTCACAGGAAATATCTCTGCCTCCTTCCTTTATTAGACCTGTGAGATGGTAGATACAGTATAGGAGGAGCAGTGTTCAATTTATTTATCGACTATTGTAGTATTTATTATTATTTTGAATTAGCTTTTATTTTTACATTTTTGGTTTTCATTTTAATTTTTGTATATTTTTAAATACTTCTATTCAGCATTTTTAATATATTTTTATTTAATTTTAATACTTATTTCAGTTAGTTGTCAAGGCAACATTTCTAATTTTCGTTTACTTTTTATGAGATTGAGGTTTTTATCTAATATTAATTAGGGCTGTCAAATCGATTAATCAGATATATATATATATATATATATATATATATATTCTTATTTATATATGATTTAAGTTATAAATATATATTACATATTTTTCTTAAATATATACATGTATATGTGTGTATTTATATATACATAAAAATATACACAGTACACACATATATTATGTAACAAACCTTTATTTCGGATGTGATTAATTGCGATTAATCAATTTGACGGCCCTAATATTAATACTTTATTTTATTTAAGCTTTAATTCAATTAATAAAAAAAAAATTAAGCAGTATTTATTTTTATTTGACATTAACAACACGAAGTGAGGAAATCAAGTGAGGAAATACCATTGAAAATGCTTTATATCTTTCTTTTTCTTTTTTTTCTTCTTTGAAACCTCTCGTTACTTGTATAGCTATGCATATCTTAGAATGGCCTACAAAGAGGTGTTACACATCAGTTTATCTGGTTCACTTACATTTGAGACACCTTCAACTCTATACGAGCATTAATTTCTATGTAATTCTAATTCATCAGCGCAATCTCAATTTCGCAATCGCATGCCTGCTTTTCAGCCCTTAAGCCTCTTGGACAAACCAAGGAAAATGTCGAGGTATGCTTCCAGATTTGGCTTATTGAGTTTCTGACACCATTAGCTGTTCCTGCAACGTGTTCTGTAGCCTCACACGTGGCTTGTAGATGGTTTTGCGAACAAGGGACTTGGAGCCGTGTTCAAGCTGGGCTGCAGGACTATGGAGGCTGACAGTAAAGCAGTCCAGCAGGAACTCTATGTAAGTGCTTGCACAGGTGTGGCCAAGCGAAAAGCGTGTTGGCTGTTGTTTGACTGAGACGAGGGAGATGCTGGGAAACTGAACAGCTGATTCATGTACAATGGACAGAGATTGAGAGGAGGAGAATGTAAATAAAAGTGACGGACCGGCCTAGAGCTGAAGGCAAGGAAGAGGGAACATATGCATCTGTTGAAGCTATTAGCGGTTGAGGAAGAGGTCAGAGCTACTGTAGTTCATGGTGTCACCTGATAGTGTTATCAGAGAGGTAGACGGCTCTCCTCTTTATTTAAACATTCCTCTTTTTAAAGGAATAGTGCACCTAAAAATTATGATGCTGTCATTTACCCATCCATTGCTCTGAAATCTCATTCATGCTTATGTTCAATTCAAAAATGAATTGAAAAAAATCCTCAAGACATACAGCATCATCTCATCATCATCATCAAAAGGCATATTTGAATTTGAGATTTCAGAGCACTATCTCTACTGTTTCTGTCTTTTTCTTGCGCAAAGTTATTGTATGTCTTCATAATATAGCAAACAAATTATATGGATCGTTTTTATGGTCCTTTTTTGTCATTTTTGGAGCTTGACAGCCCCAATTCCCATTATAAAAAAGCTTTTTGGACATTTTTCTAAATATCTTAGATGCAACCACTGATCAATTTTTCACATTGGAGCTCAGCACAAGTTATTCTATTGCATGTGTTGTTTATCTATCCTTTTATTTGCAATTTACAATTATTCTAGGAAACCGGTGCCTTTTCCAGTTAATATGCTAAATTTAATTAAATTAAATTTAATTAATTAATGCTTTTTTAAAGATCATTATTTTGTGTATTTGGTGTAACAGAATATGTTGACATGCTTTAATGTTCAAAAAACACATTATTTTTCAAATACTGTACATTATTGTAGGTCCTCTATCCCCCGCCTCTCTCAAACGCGTCGTTTTCTACAAAGTCCCTCCTTCCGACAAGCACAGTCTGCTCTGATTGGCCAGCTGACCCAGTGCATTGTGATTGGCTGAACATCGCAAGCACTCGTCGGAAATGTAACGCCCCTTACCATAATCGCGAGCTTCATCTTTCAAAATAAATGTAAAGACAGCCCGAAAGGGGAACAGAGTGGCGTGACAGACACCGTGATGAAGCTGGTATGTGTTTGCAGTACACAAGCCACGGTTAAGACAGCAGACTCCACTGTGATGTGACCCCTCCCCCCCCTCTCTTTCTCTTTCTCTCTCTCTCTCGCACACACACGCACACGCACGCACGCACACACACGATGCGCAAAACTCTGCATTTGAACAGTCAGTAGCAAATACTTAAACTAATAACAAAACAGTAGCCGATTCAGAAGTGCCAGATTGTCACAGCAAAGTCAGAATGACCTCCTCTCCTAGGTTCACGAAACGGTCGTCCATAAAATGCATTGCTGTTCTGTTGTAAGTAATCTTAAAGATTCCTAAATGCATCTACTTTCGGAAGGCCAAATAAAGTGCTTTTGCTTTCGCCTAGAAACACACAGCGTCTCCCTGACATGCTGCTTCAACACTAACTGCGGTTACTGAAACCACGCCTTCTTTCTTTGCGTGAACATTTGGGCGGCATTATGCTAATATTTCCACATAGTGAGGTAGATATGTGGGGGCGTGTTAGAACGAGCCGTTTTAGGGGGGCGTGGCAGAGTCTTAACTTTGATAAAGAATATCTCTTTGGTTTTGAGACTTTAGTCTTTGCAACTTCAGGGATCTTATCTATGCACAATCAGCTTGTAACACTCCAAAGAGAAAGGAAAACTTGAAATTGCATCATATGACCCCTTTAAGATGTATATTTTAAAAAAAAAGTGGTGTTATGTCACACAAATAATGTGTATTCTATTGCATTGTGGCACCTTAAGTTAAAGGCACAATATGTAAGATTTTTTTATTAAAATATCCAAAAACCACTAGAACAGTGTTATATATTTTGCTGACTTGTGTACTTACATTATCCCAAATGTTTTGAAGAATGTTTAAATCCAGAGAAATAAGCAATTTTAACTAGTGACACGGGCCGTGTCCATAGTGTCATTGTGTCGCCTGCCAATGATGTCATAACCCCTCGATTTGTAGAAAACATGGAAACACCAAAGAAGCTTTAATAAGTTATGCGTTTTGTTAGACGGGTGACGACCGCACAGAGTAGCATTATAACAGAACTTTCAAACGTATCTAGTATGATAAAACAGTGCTGCTTTACCCCACATACACACGACCGGAAGGAGCGGAAGCGGTCGACTGTGGCATAATAAAAGCTCTGCTGCTTTCGAGCCGTACGTGTGTCGTGCTCGTTCAGCGGCCTCGTTTCGCTTCGACGGCTTTCAGCCTCACCCTGCTTCATACTACAACGTTAATAAATCATTAGCTCATCCATGAACATGATTTCTGCCCGAGTGCCGTCGGATTGCGTCAGCTGTGGGGATGAAGACTCCACACTCAGTCACGCCGTCATCAAACTACGCCTTTGTTTCTTTGTTTGTTTTGAATACGCGCCCTCTAGCGGCGAAAACTTACATATTGTGCCTTTAACCGTCTGAGAACACTTGGTACCTTCACGGTCAAAAGGGACCAAAGCCTTGAAACTTTCCTTTTTTTTTTTCAGAAAAATCAATCTAATATGTTTTTGTTCAATAATTTTTTTAAATTATTATTATTTAGAATTTTGGGGAGATTTTATGATACTATGCAATATTTATAAAAAATGTTATCAGCAATTGTTTACATTACATTTTTTTTGTATTTCCCATTCATTTCCTATGCCGGTCAGTTTTGATCATGAAGGTACCAAGTGTTACTTTTTATTTTTCCACCCTTTAACATATCCACATATATATATTTCTATCATGAGAACTCTCAGAAGATTTTAGCATGGTAATGGATATGACGATGCATATAAAATAACCAGATCTATACAGGTGGAGCTGGGGAAGGTGGAGGGTTTCAGAGGAACTCTGAAAGCGTGCTGCAATGCTTAAGCGAATGCTAATCAGCCATTTAAATGTAGAGCAACAAGCTCATTGGCTACGTATGCAAAATAAACCAATCAGCTTGTGACAAATTGTTTAATGCTAAGAATATCATCATGGTTATAATTTCATTATGGCTTTTTTATTTATGTAATAGTTAATTTCTTTAAAGTATTCTTTAAAAAATAAGATTTCATTGTGATATATAAATGTATATTTATTTAGGAGCTACACAAATGGCACCTGTTTAGTAGAATGATCCATGGCCTTTAATCACAGCTTTGTTATTGATTGTTTTCATATCAGTGCTGCACTCTATTAGAAACCATGACATAATTTTCCCATCTCAAAGCTTTGAGCATCTCTGCAATGCGGCAATGAGTGTAAAGCCACTGGGTATCTTAATTCACTGTTTCTCTGCACTGCAGTATCGTGTTAGTCTACTGAAACTTTCAACCTCAGGCTGTTTCTGCAGTCCTGGAAGTTGTTTGTGCGTCTGTCTTTCTCTCTGTCTCTGTCTTTGTTGGACTCTCTTCGTGGAGCCGGTTTCTGCAGAGCTGTGCGTGTGGAATAATGAATAGAGCTCGGTTGGAGCCCAGCTCTCGCTCTTCTGTATGGGACAGCTCTCACATCAGAGGATGAGTGCCACTCACCCCTCTCATTCACCTCCTGCCATTCTGCACTGAGAGATTAGTCTGGGGTTAGAAGGTTGTCTGTTTCTCACCTACATCTTCAAATCCAGTAGTCACTCGGGTGATTCCAAATCCAAATGCTGCTTGTTGCACTTTTCAATGCAATTTGCATTAAATGAGGACTGAAGCTTTCAAGCTTCGAAAAGGGCACAAAAGCATCATTAAAGTATCATCTGAACCCATACGATAGCTTTATGTGAGAAACAGAGCAAAAAACACTCAAAATTGTCCTCAATTTCAGAGGACAATTTCTGAACACTGCAATCCAATTCATATATTTTTTCTTTTGCATGCATTACATCTATTCTGAACCAAACTTCAGCTTATGCGCATGCCTTCTAAAAAGAGATCTAAAAAGAAAGCTAACATATATGTCAAAAGAGCTTTTTTTTTTTATTTGTTTTTTTTTAGCAAATATTCAGTCTCATCCACTGATCAGTTCATGAGATATGTCAATTCAATTCAATACAATTCAGATTTATTTGTATAGCGCTTTTCACAATACACATCGTTTCAAAGCAGCTTTATAGAAAATGCATGTGTCTACTTTACAATTTAGAGTGATCTGTTATCAGAGCTGACTGTCCAAGTAATGTCCATTTCAGAAATGAACAGTTCAAGATAATAGAATAATACAGTTAGCTAACATGAATTAATACATTTTAGGCAGAAAAAATTAGCTCATTTAAGCAAGTAAATAAACACATGCATGTTTGTAAGATGTGAAACTTGTGTAAATTTGCATCACAGCACTGTGCAAGGTTTTTTTGAATCTGATTGAGAAAATAGTCTTATTCAAGAGTTTATATTCTTCATTTTTTTCCCCTGTTGATCAGATTTTTTCAGGTCTACACCACTCCTTTCAATCCAATCGAAATTTTTCATTTAGATCGAGATGCTTACATGAAGGCTTTTGAGTCTGAGTGAGCCATCAATCTGATTATGAAACCGTGCATGTAAACATAGCTTATGAGTTGCGGCTGGATCATTGAATCATTGAGCTAAATGACAAACAAATTAATCTGATTCCTATATGAATCATTGAATGAACAATGAACCGATTCATTTGTAAGATTCAAAAGAGTGATTTGCCAAGGAAATCTAGGGCAGATTTTCAGTGACTAATGTCTACATTTTTGATTTGTCTCTCACACAGAGTGATCGTATGACTACAGAAGAGTTGTATAAACTGGTTTTATGATGTTTTATGATATTTTCATCTTTTTGAAGCTTAAAAGCCCCAGTCACAATTAATTGTAACTCGGAAAAGAGCACGGAAAAATCTTTAAACTCTCT